GTAAATTATGGTAATCACTTTTCCCGTAGATAATAGCAGTACCTACAACTTTTATTTAAAGCATTCTTCGATATTTTGAGAAAAAAAAATTTTTCAATTTTTCCGAGATTTTGTCAAGGGGTACCCCTTCAGATTTTGCGAAATTTTCGTTTTTTGCTCATAACTCCTAAACCGTTGGACTTACGGAAAAATTGCATTAGATCTTTCTTGTAGAGCACGACGAGATCTACAATTTCCATATAAAAATTCTTCGCTAGCATTAATAGTTTACGAGTAATTTGCGAAAAACTGTTTTTTCGTTTTTCGTCAATAACTCGTTAAATATTGATGCTAGCCAAGAATTTTTATATGGAAATTGTAGATCTCGTCGTCCCCTACAAAATGAGCTTAAAAATTTCCCTTTAAGTCCATCCGTTTGGAAGTTATTGAAGAAAAACGAAAATTTTTGTCAAAAGCTCGCCTATTGGACGATGGAATGGCCGGATTTTGTCAATACTCATAAAATGCCAATTAATCGTACTTAACTTGTTAAATATTGAAGTTAGACGAATTAAAATGCCAATTAATCGTACTTAACTTGTTAAATATCGAAGTTAGAAGAAAAATACATAAAATCTTTCTTGTAGAGGACGTACAACTTTCATTTGAAGCATTTTTCGATATTTTGAGAAAAACTCATCGTTAAAAGGAATCCTATCCTATTTCTACAATATTTTTTGAGCTATCAAAGCATAGTGAGTGTCGATTTTCAGTTAAATTTTTATCTTAAATTCATTCATTCTTCTTCTCTCATCCAGAATCATTGTTCTTCCTACGTCTGATTTCTCTTTAATTATAGGAAATGCGTTTCTCTAAAGTACATGAACTTTTGGGATTGACGATATAGCTAAACATCCTTAAATGAATAATATTCTAAGAATGTTCATAGAAACGATTGATGTGATTCATGACACAGATAATTATACTGTTAATGTATTGTAGCTTCGAATAAAGAGAGCTCGCGAAAACACGTGCGAGAGATACGCTTAAAATAAATCCAGTGCCAGACAAAAATGCTGGTCTGTAACCAAGACCGTCACTCAGACCATTCCACGCATTTTTTCTAATCTCTCAAATATTTATAGCTCATAATTAATGACCAGATGAATCATCTAATTATGCGTATCTGTCGCCTAATTATATTCTGCGTTTAATGACAATAAACTGGATTAAATGAATCTGTAAATAATCAAATGGAAATGAAAACGCTGATGAATGTCTGGGGCAGCGAAATACGAGCCGGTTATTGCAGAAGCAAATATTTTGCGTTCCGATTACGTGGAATTAGTTAAAAAATTTAATTATCTCTCCTACAAGCAAAACGCGGTGACATCGGAATCGTTTGCGACCCGGTTTACTTTCTTGCGGTGTTCAAACCGGAGCAACGACCCGGTGGCGAAGCGGCGGGTGTCCCGTTTCCTTTTCTTTTTGAATCCACGCTTCCAAGACGACTCGCTTCCGTCTGCCGTTCGAATTCAAACGCGTTCCCTGCTTCCTGCGCCGAGTCACCCTCCGTCTCCAACTTTCGCTTATGAGAATTTCAATGATTTCATTGATCGTTCATTTAATTTGTCTCATTGTATCAAACGTACGTAACTGAATAATTTTCGAAATATTAAAACATAGTGCAACTTGAATTGAATTTTGGTTTGGTTTTAAATTCAGTCATTTTAATTCTCAAACGAGATGCAACGGATTACAAGTTTAAATGGACTTTAAATATTCATCGCTGGAGAAAATGTGTTTATGTCTCTCAGAGGATAAATAACTTCATCGAAGTAAAAATTGTTGTACAACTGCGTTTGTCACCGTGAGCGAAGCACCTGAAGTCCTACCGCGGGCTCCCCTGTGCCAGTGACGGGAATTAATTATTAAATTGCCGGAGTCATTTGCGTGCCCGTTCATAGCAGCTGCTACTGAATCTCCGTTATTCCGTACTTACCCGTCAAAGTTGAGTAGAACGAGAGGAAACACGTGCTTGCATTCCGATAAATCCGTCTTCCTCCTTAATATTTCCTTCCTTCTTAATTGATGCGTCGCTCGTGTAATTGGCTTTTGACAGTCGTGGTGATTTCTCTCTCGAAACTCCGCGCAAAACTGTTTAATGAAAAAGTGGAGCCGGTTTGATAGAATTTCATGAAAATAGAAAGAAAATACGGTTGTTACCAAATATATCCAGACCAGGAATGTCGAGTTTTCAATACCTCTGATGCATCTATACGCAGGTAAAAATAGACCTCGTTTTTACGTCACAGAAAAATTCTTATCAAATATTTAAGCAAGATACCAGAATCAATTTCGTAACCGAGAAATGTGAACCGAGGGGCGCTTTGAGATATTCCGATCATAGAATTTTCATTTCTAACGTTTCACACAACGCATCCTCGTAACGATGCTTACTTTATATACAATTTTATATCTAGTTTGTTCGAGTGAATTCTTGGAAAATATTCTCTGCAATTGCGTTGAACGTCGATAGGACCTGGCCTTGAAACTTGCATCGATTATCCGCGAATTCTCGTTCCTCTTCCCTGAGGATCTGGCGTGGCGCACGTGCATCGCAAAGTAGCTGCGTTACGGCATTCTCCAAATGGAATCTCGCTGTTCGACGTACAATCGGAATCGAGTTTCAACTTCTGTAAGCGAACCTCAAGGGAAAATTGTACTTTATTCCTATCGATCAGTTTAAGTTTCTTTGTACTGTTCTCCGATGCGTCAAAGAGATGAATTCTACTTTCTTAATTTGGATGAATCCTGTTACGAACTGCGAAAGACAATTTATCAAATAGACGTTCAACGAGTCTTATTAATAATTCTATAAAACGTCGAATGAATTAAGTAATTCCTACTGCGAGTAAAAAGGAAGACAATTACGCTTATTTCATTTAAATACCGCGCATCTAACACGACTTCCCCTACGATAAATACAGCGACGTTCCAATTGAGATACGAATGCGAGCGAATAAGAGCGAGAGTGAGAAACGACAAAACGGAGAAAAATTAACATCCGTGGTGGAGATAGCTTATCAGTCGTATACCAGACAACCAGCACCAGTCGCGTTTCGTCCCATGTTTAGCTCGGGCGAAACCGTACCGCGGATTATTTAATCGCTTAATAATCGGTTTCCAATAATTGGTCCGGAACGTGCTACTCGAGCTTGCCTCGCGATTATACCTACACAGTGAAACGTAGAAAATCTGTAAGCTCTGTTGGAATCGCAAGTGCAGTGGATTCGTGTTTCGCTAGCTTGGAATTTTGTAAAGACACAACCGGTTGTTCGCAGATTTCTGAGGTAGAGTCGCGGTGGTTGGAGTATCTTTGGAACGCGATAGGAGCTGGTCTGACTGGCTTATCCTTGGTCCAGGAAAAGGTGTTTAACGAATTCCTTGAAGGTCGGAGGATTATCGATTTGCGCCAGTCTAGTGGTCTTTTGTTCGCGCGCGTATTTCCACTGAACGGGATTGTAGAAAGCGAGGATAGAAAGTCGAGGAATGTTGGAAAGTGCCAAAGGAATTTGGAAGTGAATGCGAACAACATTCGATTGAATTCTAAAGTACAATTGGCTAAAATTGTATTAATTATTTGCCTGAGAGATTGCGGGTTTTCGTGCGAAATAAAATTGGTCATCAATTTAAGAAGCGATATTTAATAAGCTGAAGTGACAGCTATCAATGATATTATTCTTATCTGCTTAGTCAGATAGAGATAACGATCTGTTTTTTACAATTATATCCACTGGAAGCGCGTTCATCAAATCGAGTAGTTTTTCACTTTTCTGTGCAATTAATCTTGATATAATATAGAGACACTTGATTTAGTAGATTACTCGGATTCAACTTTTACCAAGGATGATCCATCAGAGGATTTGTTGAATTAGAGAGCTTTTATCTCGATGAATAATAGTCATTGATAGGAGGATTCATGTTAGCGCAAGCTCCTATTTCTACTGATTTTCTGTGTAATTAATTTAACCAAGAGACACGTGAACGTTCGATATCCGATTCCGGGGAGAATAAAATGTGAAGAGACTAGCAGGCAGGATTCTTCGGGTGCAGAATTTCACGGGGTGTTTCTCGTTTCACATCGAGGAGAACGGTTTTTCGTAGCTGTGACGCCAATGGGGCGTCGCGGACACGAGGGGCCGCGCGCTGTAGCGCAGGAAGAACCGAAAATAAAGTAGACAGCCGTCGCGGCGGGAAACGTGCATGAATGTATGCGCGCCCTCCGCTGAGAACTGCACGCGTGTATTGAAAATTTTTAGCTCCCGTCGTACGTATCGTTATAAAAACTATTGGCACTGCACCCGATGTGTACGAAAGTCAATTAATGACTCGTATTGTAATGCATTGACTCGTTGATCAGCGTGAAACATTTCGGAATAAAAGCAAGTTCTCTCGCATATAAAGTGAAGATGCTTACCTCTTTTCAGGCTGAATTCAATTTGCTCTCTGTGTAAACGTTCCATCGACTTCGTTAGAAATTCATATTTCTCCTTTGCGGTACTCTTTTACAAGTGTATCCCTCTTTAATCTCAAGTCCTTCCACCCCATGCACTTTAAACGGCGAGTGGCCGACAGTTTGTTTTCGCTTCCGTTTACCCGAAATTGTTTTTCTTCTTCAAGGGCCACCTGAGCCTCTCGTAGAAATTGCCCCATGGAGATTTCAGGTTGAACCCTAAATTTCCCTTGGACGCACGCTGATCCGGCGTTGCTTCCCAGACGACACGTGCTCGGCCATGCGTCACGGGCCTCTTGGT